TGAGTAGAACGTATTTCGTAGAGCGCTCGACTCAATTGATTGAGGAGCATCAGCTATAACTTCACAGAAGTTCAGGTTTCACGAGTAATCATCGTTTTATTGCTACAGAACTGTTTCGTATGGTGCAAGGACCACACTCATCAGGCAATTTTGACGACTGAATTGTTGGAATTGGAAGGCTGGCAGTTAAATGCGAAAATTTAAATGGTTGCTATGGTAGATGCGTTACATTCAGGTTATATGAAACTGTTGAGAGGGTTGCTAGGTAACAAAAACATTATATAAGGGGGATTATCTGTCGTTATAAAAAATGTGATATAAGCGGCCTTTAAGCTACGTTACTCTAAAGTTTCCAAGTACATATCGATTTCTGTGGGGGCATGAACTTGCTAATTCGTTTCTTCTGTTGAGGCTACACAGTTCTTTTTTACAGATGATTATGAACTTTTCATTCAGGCAAAGACTACATTTTTTGTTAATGTTGCTGTAGGGTTTACATTTCTTAAGAATTTTCCATTTAATCTGAAACGGTTTGTTTTCGTTTTGTAAGTTCCAAACATATTTGGAGAGTTCTGTTTCGTTTCTTCTTTTCGAGTGTCGAAAGGATGTTTTGTGGTTCCTGTAACGTTCCTTAAAGTTTGTGGCTAGTCCAACGTAGGTTTCAGTAGCTGTCTCAGTAGTAACCGTGGCTTGATAGATGACGTTAGTTTGAAGGCATTTTCCTTCTAATGGGCAATCAGACTTTTTCCTACAATTGCAGGTGTCGGGTTGCGGTGTTGGGGCATTTGCATTGGAAAGAACGTGTTTGTTGTGTGACGATATGATGGATTTCATATTTGGCATACATGAGTAGCTTAGCTTGAGAGTGTGTCTGTTGAAGATCTTGTAGAGTGGATGTTTTTTCTGGAAGCATTTATCGTCGATCAAGTTGCGACAACTTCTCTAAATGAGAAGAGAAAGAGCAAACATAATACGTCTAACAAGATTCCCGATATTCTTATATACTGTATTTGCCATCGTTTCTATTTCTAAGAAGATGCACAAAAAGTTTTTTTCCCTGGCTATAAAATGAATTTTATTTGTTGGTAAGATTTAGACTTGATTCCCTCGGCCAATGCCAAAGTGACCTGCGTGGCAGGCGTTCGAGTGGATTTTGGGCGCGAGAGAAACGCGAGGGGCGCACGAGGAGGAGGGCTGTGTTTGACGTGTTTGAACACTAACCAATCAGGATTTTAACATTCGCCTGTTGGATGTTTATAACGTGAAAAACAATGGCCCCTTTGCAGGCGTTTCCCTCTCTTCCTCCTCGTGCGCCCCTCGCGTTTCTCTCGCGCCAAAAATTCCCTTTCCCTTCCCCTTAAAACGCCTACCTCGAAGGCTAATGCCAAAGTTGAAAGGTAGTCCTGAGTGGGAATAAATTGAAGTCATTTACAATATGAAGCAACTTACCATTATTCTTTTTCTTCAAGTTCTGTAGCTCTGATGAGAAAAAAAGGTTTTTATAAAAGTAATCAAATATGGGTGAGTCATTGTTCAGTTATTTTTGTGATGAAATATCGCATTAATTCCTACTGCCCTGTAGATGTTTCAGTCTTCTTGCCTAGAGTTTCCAGCATGCCTTAAATTAAATATTGGGCATAGTCGACCTGTAGGTGGTTCAGTTGTCACTATAAATCTTTCCCATTTTATGTTTTTTTTTCTTTTTTAAATAAAGGTGCTTTTTCATTGTAGCTGGGTTTCTCTAATCCTGTGGAGAACTTAGAAGTGATCATTCATTCAAATTATTACCAGGTTCTACCAACAATACATTGCCATACCAAAATAGCTCATATGGTTGAGATGTACTCTTGTATTCACTGATATGAAGTAAAATAACAGCTGTATTGAATAATGAATAGTAAAAATCTTCTTATGATAATGCTGATACTAATACTTATATTACTTATGATAATTTAATATAACAATAAGAGTAATGATAATAATTATCATGAGTAAAAGTTTGTTCTCAATCATCTGCTCAGTCAGTTTCTTACTTCTTTGACTACGGTGTTCGAGGAGTATCACAAATAAAATTTACTATGTCTGATTCTTTTCTTGTCTTCTATGATTTTGATATCTTGTCTATGATTAAAAGGAAAAATCCTTTTCGTTTTTATTGTGTCATTTTGATTTTAAATTTGTCGCGTTTGATTTCTCCAATAACAATTTTGATTTTCAAAGTTTGTCCCGTTTGATTTCTCAAATGCATTTTTGATTTCCAAAATTTGAGACGTTTGATTTCTAAAATTTGACGCGTTTGATTCCTCATATGACACTTTTGATTTCCAAAATTTGCCGCGTTTGATTTCTCAAATGACACGTTTGATTTTCAAAATTTGTCGCGTTTGATTTCTCAAATGACACTCGAGTTTGATTTCCAAAATTAAAAGCTTTTGATTTCCAAAATTTGTCGCGTTTGATTTCTCAAATGACACTTTTGATTTCCAAAATTAGACGCGTTTTGATTTCTCAAATGACACTTTTGATTTCCAACATTTGCCGCGTTTGATTTCTCAAATGCAAATTTTGATTTCCAAAATTTGTCGCGTTTGATTTCTCAAATGACACTTTTGATTTCCAAAATTAGACGCGTTTTGATTTCTCAAATGACACTTTTGATTTCCAAAATTAGTCGCCTTTGATTTTTTCAAATGCCACTTTTGATTTCCAAAATTTCTTTAGTCTCCAAGCTAGGGGTAGCCTACTTGTTTGATGAGTTTACACGTGACATTTGGCTCTTCTGTTATCTGCTTCTCTTAGCTGCCATGTCAGGCCAAGGAATTCGTGAAAATGGTACGTTCTGTTATGGAATTTAGTCACTATTATGTAGGTTTATTGTTCCATGTTTTATGTAAGCTTACAACTGTTTGATACGATCAAAATTACAATGAGAAAAGAAACATTATTTACCACTAATGAACAGGATCTTTGTAAACAATAACCTTCCATGTTAGCATCGGATCCGAGTATCGATCTTGGAGTCGTGACATTTTCTCAACGTCATGTAAAGGAAACAAGATATAGGGAAGCGCTATTTGCACGTTTTGTTTTAGATCTAAGAGAGTACCTTCTACATCATGTGCGGTCCTTAAAAACCATTGATATGATCGGGCAATATGTCTGGAAAGATTTTGGCATAAACTGGAGGTAAGCGATTGTCAAAATTATTGTTAAAATATAAGGACCGTTTATTTGTTTATGTAGCGTGTTCCAGGCGTTCAGATAGTGGGGAGCGGTGCGAAGTAAAAAGGAGTGCGAAAAAATAATCCCCAGTCCCTTTCTACTTTTCATCGCTTTCTTTACTACGCACCGCTCTCCACTATCTGACCGCTTGGAACAGGCTATTGTTTATCAGGTAGGCGAAGCGGGGGCTGGTGGGACTTGAGAGGGGGCATGAAAAAATGTGGCTTTAAAAGTGGGATTCAGAAGGAAAAAAATATTGGGTTTTATGGGGGGTCACCAAAAATGACTTTTGCAATAATTCAAGTAGCCTACCAGAATCCCATTTGCGACACACGCGGGGGCCGCACAAAAAAATTCTGATGAAGAGGGGGGTTCATCATGTTCTACAGGAGCTATAAGTCGAATCCCACTAGCCCCCCACCCCCCTTCATTTAAGAAATGAACGGTCCCTAATAAATGGTAGAGTTTTTTTCCCCGTCATTCCATTTCAATGGTTCATATCTGGTCACCCAACATCATCCGCCATCTGTAAATCCGGGAGGAGCGGCGTGGGAGAGTGGTCCATTAACCCATACCATTATGTATCACTCAAAAAGTTTTGTTGCAGTGTGAAGCTATAATTTAGTATACCCATTTTTGATAAGTGGTACGTGGACGGGTATGCATTCCATTTTGCCTGCTCTAAATGTACTGTCTTTTCGTGATCTCCATTAATTAAAGCTGCGATGCTTTTTCCCTTTTTTCAAAGCCACACGATAAAAATATCGTTCTGTAAGTTCCAACAATGAAGCGGCTCATTTACATTTTGAAATTCGACACATAGTGTTCTTAATCTGCGGCACAAACCCGGTCCTACTACGCGATGGTTTTAATTTTTAATTTTTAAATTAAAGGCAAAAGACTTGAACCTTATGGGATGAACAGAGACGAGATGAAATTTTAAAATCTATTGCCTCTCTTTGCTAACTTAGTGTACCCACGCTGAAAAGAAAGATGGCTCAGTTTGGTATCACATACTATCGCGATGAGAGTCCAATAGATGTTCTGAATGCAATACAGGTAAAATAATGAAAAGTGCTGCAAGAAAATGGTTTTATATTAATCGTGTCGGGTTTAACGTATTTTATCAGTAGAGTAGACGAGTCTCCAATCAGCCATCGAGGAGACTAACTGATGTTTTCCCATTTGCAGTTTGAACTTGATAGTGCAAGGAAATTAGTGGGAATTCGAACAATGCAGTTAAGGCTGCGAATGCATCATGATCTGTTGGTCACAAGGTTAGTGTTAGTTGGACGGAGACCAAAATGCCAAGGCTAGGAAAACAAATAGGATGTATATACCAGTTAATATGGAGAGCAGTTTGCTATATACAAGGAGTAACTTTGTATTGCTGTTGTTTCAGTTTTTTTGTTTCTGTCGTTTGTTTGTGTATTTTTAGTTTTCTGCTTCTTTTGGCACGCGCTAGATGCACCAACCCTGTTACTTGTTTCCACAGAGACCAAGTTCATAGCATCATGACTTTGACCGATTATGATGGTTTGCAGAAGAGGCGGCATCGTGTTTTACAGCGACGTATATTTTTCTCAAAGGTGTGTATGTCACTAGTGAAGTGAAATCAAAAAAAAATTCCTTTATTGACGAGTATTATTAGTCAGATTGTTATTTAGCCTATGGCTATGCATTGTGGCAGGATAAGCTTAAAAACTGAGAAATGAAAGCACTCCCTTTGTTATGAACTAAATAGTGCCCATTAATTAGCACTTTGTTGCTAGATATATTGACACACAAATAAAAGCGATTTTTGGCCTTCAGGGAAGTAACTGGGTTTGGTCTATCGATGGATATGACAAGTTCCAGGCATTTGGCATTTACATCCACGGTGCTATGGATACTTTCTCCCGACGCTTGCTTTGGCTAAGGGTTTACAATAGCAACAAGGACCCAGCGGTGATCGCTTCTTATTTTTTTGATTTCATAACGGAAGAAAAAGGTACTGCGTGGTTATTTATTTTTTGGGTTTTACAATCTTCCCGCCCTAATTTAATGGCTTTTTTTTAGTGTTTCCGGTCAGGACTAGAACGGACTATGGTGTAGAAGCGTGTATTCTCGCCCAATGCCAGATCTTTCTCAGAAGGCAACATAGAGACGCCTTTGCATTTGATAATGCTCACTACAATGGCCGTTCAGAACTCAATCAGGTTAGGCCAGGTACTCCTTTGAGTACTCGAATAAGCCCGCGCTCATTAGTTTCACTTGATTGACACGATGCGATGATCTATTATCTCCTCTTAGACAATCGAGGCTTGGTGGTCTCGTCAGCGCCGTTACAATTCACAGTACTGGCTCGATGAACTTCAAGTAAGAAATGTTTGAATGACTGTGCACTGACAACTAGTAATTGTATTTGTGCCGCAGTATTACTGTATCTGCATTCAAAGTTAAAACTGAATCATTTTTTTTTCTCAGACACTTCAAGAGAGTGGCCTTTGGGAGCGCGATGATATTATTGACCGGTAAGTGGAGGACCGACACCAAGAATGAGTCTAGTTATCCATGCTGCAGTTAATAATGTTGGCGTGCGTTGTGTTTCTGGAAGAACGAACTAGCCATGATTACTATTACATGCACCTTCCACAACTGTTGTTTTTTCTCAGTGCACCTCCTGTCTATTCATAGATGGATATTGCTGTACGTATACATTCCACTACTGGAAACGGAATTGGCGGATTTAAAAATGGCGTACAATGCCCACAAAATAAGAAAACAGAAAGGAAAACTCAGACCGGATGGTGTACCAGATGACATGTACTACTTCCCAGAGCGATTTGGTAAGTAATAGGCCTTTAGATAGATAAGTCATGCATCCACGGTCAAAGTATTCACAAACTATGTGAAAGGCTCTGTAAAGTATCCTTGTAATTGATATTTATTAATATCAATAATATCAAAATTAATTTGTTTTGAAGGTGGTCAGGAAGAAGGTTTTGTGCCATCAGATAATGACCTGCAACGGATTGCCACACAGCATGGCCTGGGAAGGCCTCTTCCCGACTATATTCCAGATGAAGTACGAACCGTGTCCAGCAATTGGTGCAGAAGTCATGGGGTCACTGTTACAGTTGCAAATGCAGCTACTGTGTATCAACATTTAAGACAATATGTTAAAGATAAGATAAGTTAACTTTATTTTATATTTTCAGAAGATCTCAAATGATCCACTCAAGAAATTACTCTGTGCCTCTTCCTGTACACTGCCGCTACCTTAGCCTGCTCCAGGCTCCGACATAGTGGCCCGTGTGATTTACTTTGGAGTAAACGTAACTTGTACCGCCGGACAATGGGCGTCAAAATTTGATTTAAGACTAGAGGAAATTGAGATTGAGATTTTCTAACGTTAGGCTCGTTCACAGCTAACGAATGTTGGACACTGACACACTGAAAAAACCTAAAGGCAGACTACACAGGGTCAACATCTTTAAGTAATATATTAGGTATTCGGTATTGATTCGCTCGTCAGAAGAGCAGTGGTTTTACTTTCTGTATTCGCAGACTAAAGAGGCTCATGTATGAAGGATTCGTCTCTTAGCTCCTTTTCGCCTCATTAGGTAGTATATGGTTCATGTAATTTATATATGACTAAGGTTATCGCAGATAAATTTTGACAATTTCATCATATTTTTGGCGACATATAGGGCAAGTCCCATTCAACTTAAAGGCGCAGTTCTCGCAGCAGTATATATGGCCGCATTTATAAAACATCACGTCAATTTTATTGCTTAAACAAATCCCACAATCCAACTTATTGTTTGCAAGATGCTGCTGTATGCAGGTAGTTTGACTTTCCCGTTTCTCTGCCGATGCCATTAATGTCGTAAGGGAAGGAAGGCGGTCCTCTTCGCCTGAACTTAGCAAAAACACCTAAGAATACAAGAAAACAGTAGTCACAATTTATTTCGTATAAATGATCTATTAAACATTTCACTGCATTTTCCTTGTCATCCATTTTCCTCCCCAGTGGATTCTTGCTTTTCTTGCTTTCTAGCAATTTTCCAATTGCAATTAAAATATAGGTCATGTCATGAAGCTTTCAAAATACAATTAGATAACAAGTTTACTTGCTGGCAAGGCCAGTGCTTTGAAAGTGATCATGGATGGATATGCCGACACCTTAGTCCTACAACCTAAGGCCACGAATCTAGTGTATCCCGAGACTCCTTACTTTGCTCTCTGGAGTTTCCCCTGCCTCGCCAGCTAAAGGAACAGAGGTGACTGGGAACGAGAACGAATTTTAACACAATCTAGTGGATTGAGGTCCCGGATAAATTAATTTCTTCACAGATTGAGGCTCGCTTCGCAATTGGGATATGCGGAATCTGGAGCAAGGGCGTTATATCAAGTTTAGTTATTTATGTTAATTATTGAAGTCTGGTGGTTGAAAATAGTTGTCGGAAGCTAGTAAATCCCGTTCGTAATACGATCAGCGCCTGAGTACACGTTCTCACCTGTAAAATCCATTTATTCATTATTTTGTGTATTTATTGCGTGCCGGGGGTGAAATGTTACAACCTAACAGATAAAGAAACAAAATATGAAATTACACATGTACAGTCATTCTAGTGACACACAACATTTATTTCGAAAAAACAACATTACATATGAGATCTCCTTGTATTTAAAGTTGAAATTACCCTGGTTGTAAGCCCACCGGGTTGTATTAGACTTTTCAAGCGCGGTTTCGGTTTTGGTCAAGTCTTTCCGTCAGCATGCGAGGCCGACAACGAATGAGGGCGTGTTCAAAGGTTTTGGGCGTGAAAAGTACCCGCTCTTTTTTTTGGAACTAGTATGTTAAGTTGTACTTCCCCTCTCCCTTTCACTGGCGCCGGCTACCGCCAAGAAATACATTGATCAGGGTTGTTGGTGGGACGTTATTTCTATTTAGTTATGACATTTGACTGAAATTTGTAAGTAAATAGTTTCAGTTCCTCACCTACCTCGGGGCTTGTCGGATCTAAAGGCCGCTCCTGACTGCCATTGCTCTCTTCATTTCTACTTGATCTATCAAAAGCTGTCAAGGGAAACGAGTTGGAAAGACCAGTTGTTAGTTTTTTTTATTTGTTTTTTTTTTCCCTCATTATGGAAAACAATTTAAAAATCTTAAAGATGTAAGTTATTTGAATTGTCTAAGTTCTGAGTGCATTTCATGGACCGTTCGTCTCCTAAAAATAAACAATGGAAAGATTCGATCCAGTTTAAAAAGAAGCATGCATATACTCACCAGGCAACTCCAATGCAATGCAATACACATTACATTGGTGGCTTGACTTGAATCCCTCGAGCGCAGTACAGGAAAGATTGCCAATCCCGAATAACCTACAATGAAATATATTTGCAGTAAACTGATATTAAAAATCACTGATCTTGACATTTGCACATGTACATGTATGTATTGGTAACAGCCATAGTCGTCAATATGATATTGTAATAAGAGCTTACAAAAAAAAAAAGACAACATCTAATCTCTGTGTACCTTAGACATCTACTAGTCTCACAGCCTAATAAAAATTTTCAGGTCTCGCCAATGAAAGGCACATAAATAGTTCAACAGATAGCTTTTGGGTACCTCTTCTTAAGTGTGAACTTTTCTCTTTTCTGTAATACTCCGCCAGTAGAACGTTAATTAATAATATATTATTCTATTCCCTTAACTTCATTGGGGTGAAGGATTTTGCGATTTTTTTCAGTGAATTCTCTCTAATACTGTAACTAAAGGTATTACTGTCTCATTTTATGAGTCATACCAACCTCTCATCTGTTGAAGCGATCTCCAGATCGGACAAAGTGTAGTCGGCTCCTAAAGAGGTTTTAAAAGTGTTTACATGGTAAGCGAGATATCCTAACAAGCACACAGTTATGTTCAGTAAATGGTCGAAATGGCAAGCATTGCCTAATTTAATTAGTACTTCTGGATTACTCCTCGCGAAATACTATACTAAACTCGATTAACTGCTCGAAGCTGTCTCCTTTAATTGGCCTCTGTCGATTGTTTAGAAATGAATAAGTTGCTGTGTTGGAACTGGTTCTCTTGAAAGTGGGGAAATATCAACTTACCCTGTAGGTCACAAACGAGAAGTCTGCCATCAAACTTATTAAAAGTCCAGTGTGCGAACGCCAGTGCCTTCAGTTTGAACTGGTTCTCCTCGCCGCCCATCTCCAGTCCGTCATTGTTTAGGAATTTTTGCCAAGTTCCCTCTATCTCGTGTTCCAAAATCCCACAAGAAGGAAACTGTCCAGTCATCTTTACAAATAGTGATGGTAATACCCTAATATAATATGAAAGGGGTATTCGCAACACACAGCTTAAAATTGTGTACTTGCAAAATTATAAACAAACTGGAACAAATTTTTATTCATCTCGCCAGAATAAGGATGGTTATACCAAAAAAAGAGAGAAAGAATTCACAACCCTCCCAAAAACTGAATGAAGGGTCCGAGCCAAACTATAGGCATAGGCCATGCCAGATCTATGGCCATCGGAGGTACAAACTGCTGTAACCGGACTCTCAAAAAATGCACGATTATTTGAAGATTTAATATCTCTGAAATCTCTCTTCGGGAGGAGGCCCCACCACCACCTTCACGATTCCTTATCGCGTGCTTTCTAGCACCGGCTTCTCTGATCCCTACTGCGTCTAACAATCTTTTCTATGTACAGATTTCATTCTTCAAACCTATACCGAAGCTGTCTGAACCCCTCACAAAGACATTTTCTCGTTACCTTATTTCTTCGCCGTAATCAGGTATCTGCCTGCACTTCAAATTGTAGTGTTGGCAAAGGGCATTAGCAACAGCTGAAATCTGACAGGCCTGGGGATTGAATATGACAAAGATAGAATAGAACGTTAACTAAGTGCCAAACTGTAAGCCTTCTCATTAAAAAGGCGGCGATGATTTTAAACATGTTCCAGACTCAATCACTGATCAAACCATGTTCCGGACTGGACTTTAAAGTATTCTTTCAGTGGACACAGTCGTCCGTGTAATATACCTATTCATTGAAAGATAGCATGTCAGGCTATAGTACCTTGGCAGATTTCCTACTGCTCTCCTCGTCCATTAGGTCCATGTCCTCAGATGATAAACCGTCGACCGCTTCAGTCGTCAAAGGACCTTCCAGTTTTTGTTGTTTCAACACGTATCTTCCTGAAAAATCTAAAAATTTGTTAGGTACGATGCAGGTAGCCTTAAAGGCGTTCTGAAAAGTTCCAGATCCAAACGGCTGGGCTGGAAATCCTTGCACGTCTAGAACGCAGTGAAGTGGTCCTTCGGTCTCTATGGAGCCCCAATCACTGGCCATCGTGAACGATGTAATTGCCACTGGTAATTCTACAACGTGCAGGAGAAAAAATTCAAATTAGAGACTGATCCTTTGACAAAAGCATCTTGACGCGCGTTAACAATTTCCACTTAGCGTGGGAATTGTTTCCAGACCTGGAGGGCACCGTTCAATCATTCCAGGCAAAGGAAGACCCTTGAAAAAAGAAGTATTAACGAAAAGTTGACAAAATTGCGAGAAAAAAAAAGGCATAAGCGATATATGATCATTATTAATTATATTATTTAAGGAATAGGACAAGGCAATTAAGTGAGGCCTGTATTCTAAGCCTTTTATTTTTTCTCTACGTTTCTGGTTGTCAAGTATCATTTCCAAATACGACAATTGCGCTTTTCCTACCAGTTTGCCTGACTGGCGGTAGTGCGATCGACTTTCCCAAGTTGATCACAGCAGATGGCCTGACTGGTAACGAGGATGGCACTGCCAGGGCTAAACCTCTCAATTGACCTCTGCGCCTCTGATCTGTCGCTTTCTTGCTCAACACTACGGACGGCGCTGGACTGCGTACACTTCTCAGAGGTGCGTTGGTAGCAGCAGTATTTGAGGCCGAGAGTGATGTTAGTGGCTCCGACTCCAGCTCTGGAAGTGGATCCAGGCTATCGCGCATCGCTTCCTCCTCGTCAGATGAATCCTGAAACAAATGACCCTTTTTGTCACATTCTTTGACTCCAATAATATTAACTGTTTGTAGTTAAAATTGAATTAAGAGTCTAGTGTCTCGGCTCATTGTCATAAAGATGTCCTAGTTTTGCCAAAAAACGTTTACTATTAATCGAATTCTAGCTAGTCAACAACACAGTCGACTGACGATGCCTCGAACCCTTTTTTCTCCCTTGGGATGGTCTATATATGATTTTACCCTGGATTACCAGTTTATATTGAAAAAGCGTTGTTGCTCTATTCATTTCTATGTAACATCAATATATCTGTTGCTGCTCTGGGAGACTGGTACAGAGAACCTACTCACGGCCGGACCTTTTGTCGATCACTCCGGTTTCTTAGTAAATTTCTTCTCAAAATTTTAACTTTTTCTCAACTATGACCGGAACTGAGGAACTAAGGAAAGAAAAGCAAGCGTTACGAAAAGAAATCCAAGATCTAAAGAATCAAGTGAAGAAATTCCAGTCACTGACGACATGTCGCAAGCGCGGCACCGAAATGGTAATATTGATACGCCCACCTTAGTTAAAAAGGTAGAGTAGCCAAAAATGTCGAAATATAAATTCTTGCCTATTAGTTTCTACTTTTACAACTAATTAGTTCAATTCTTTCTCGTGTTTTTTAGTCTGCTATCTAGTCCTCCTTCATATTACGATTTTTATTTTATTTATTTGTAAACTGTAAACTTTCCTTTTCCAGCCTCGAAAAGCCTTACTAGCTACCGGCAATACTTCTGTAATTTTATTTGTTTATTAATAAAGTTTTGTTGTTGTTGTTGCTCTTAAAGTGAAGTGTGCATCATACTTGCATTTCCCGCCCCATCCCATTTATCTATTTCCTTATTTTCGGTCACTTGCTTTCAACTACGGATAACTCGCACTTTTCTCGATCGATTTCCCTAGAAAAACACTTGAATAAAATAAAAATATAGCAAGCCAATCGCCTTTTTACCATTTCCACTCCAGCTCTCCAGTAGAAATAGAACTGTTTCCCCGTGATATGACTATCCATAGTCAGTTGTGGTCCCCGAAGCGTCTTGAGGATGTAAAACTGGTAGCGATCGACAGCCTGCTCTCTTGTAAGACCCAAGAAGTGCCCAAGCATGACATTCTCCAGGGTCTTGAGAGTCAGACCTTCAGATGTGCCAGTGTCCACACCGCTTAAAGATACCTGCAAAGTGCGGATCAATACCTTTATATGTTTAAAAGCTATCACACGGCACAAGAGTGGTTTACAACGCAAGTCAGTCCATACCATGCACCTATTGCGTTAGTCGGTCATCTTGTCTATCGTTATCACTTTGTTTGTGTGTGCACGATAGATGCACTCGAGACTATATGTTTTTTTATTCTCGTTCGTCAGAACACATCTTAATCTTGGTGTTCCTGTGGTACAAAGTCGCAGATTGTCGAGGTAGGGGGAGCGACTGCCGATTAGCCGCCCACCCTGATTTTATCAGGGGCACCTCGGCTTGGAAACTGGTCTCGTTTTGACAAGGTTGACGAAATTATTCTGTACCCAATAGTGTATAGTATAATAATTAAACGCTGAATGATTAGAGATCACTATACGCGGTGTGCATCTTTTGTACAATGTTCCAAGTAAATGCTTCGTTATGCCCATAAAGCGAACAATAATAATATCCGGCTAACATGTTTCGACTACTCACAAATTCTTTAGGTCCATTCGCCTGGTACTTGCCCAAACGACGGGATACAAGTTTCACAGGGGTCGCTGTTATTTCCTGTAAAGGTAAATTTTAATTTCCTCAATTAGCATTTGAAAAAGACTGGTGTAGAATTTTACTCTCGACGCCTCAAAATACAAATGGTTATATTACAGTACGCCAAAGCTTGGTTGAAAGCATGTCAGAGACAAAATGAACATCTCAATCAAACCTCAAATTTGGCGAAAGCAGCAGGGAAGAAAGGATGAATAGGTCCAGGCCTGCCTATCTATTTCAGCAGCAGGAACTGATGAAAGCTCGTGAGGACGCCTAACCACATATAATTTGAAAAATGGAACGCACTAGACAACACACACATGGTCTTTTCATTGTCTCCAATTAGACCACTCCACTCGCTACCATCATTAAAGGGAAAGTTGATACAGTTTTGCAAACCCAATAACTCACTTTAGGGATGCTTTTTTTCCGTCCGGAATTTGGCCTTGGTCCGCCACGACCACCACCCGGCTTGCGACATTGTCGCTTTGGTGGATTCGCATCAAGCTGCTCGTTTCTCTTTGCTTTTGCCAATTGCTGAATGTGCTTCCATCTTCTTCCGTCCTCGTCGGTCCTTTCTGATTGATCTGTGTGGAGAACATGGACCGCTAACTATGTTATATTGACACGTGTTAGGTTCATTCCTATAGCAAAGCAATATACTGAAATATACTATCCTCTCCAATAATGAATGAACTGTATGACATTGGGAGTAACAATTTACATTAGAATTACCTTCGAATGTGAAAGTTGTGGAGGGAGTTGAAGTAGACGACGATAGCTGGGTTCTAGTGGCAGCTATGACAATCAAAAATGCATATAGAAATCAGTGCATAATAAATTTCTCTGCATACGCTACAACCGGTAAAGTGAGGTACATACAACTACTTCGAGAAACGCTGAGAAAATGTGCCAGCGACAATTAAAAAAGGTTTCATGGGATATGATCCAAACGCTGTTGCTGACACTGTTACCCGTTGAATGTTCTATTGCTGCATTCCTTTAGCATTCGCAAACAGGCGCTTACTTGATTTTACCTTAAACGACAGCGGCGCTATTTCAACAACGGGTAAAACACGGAGAGAGAATTAAATGAAGCGCGTACTATTTATTATACTATAATACTATATTCATTATACTATAAGTAAACCTCGAACTGTCAGAAAAACTCGGTTCAAGAGTAAATTCAATTTCAATTTGTAAATATCCCAAATTAACGCGCTCAGCGGCGCTTAATGGATTATCCTCGGTAAAGATGCGGCGCTTAATGGATCATTTTCGGTGTTTCAATGCCTCTCGTGCCATTCTTTCAAATGTCTCAAAATGAACCACAATGCGTCTTCAGGACTGTCGCGTGCACTTTTTTCCACACCCGCCTTTCTCGCAACCGTTGGACCTAAAGTAAATTAAATTTGGGAAGTAAAACCTTTCACAGTGCCACGTTTTTCCAGGGGCTGCGAGCTTGACGTCGTGATAGCTGATGACAAACAGAGGAAAAAAAAAAAACAAATAAGGGTCGAGTAGAGGAAAAGTGTGTGGTCATCCTAACGTAACTTTTATCATGTTTTATATCGTACTATATTTGCATCCGATTTGGAAGAGTGACCAGATTATAGGAAACATTCTTACAAAAACTCTCTACATTCCGTTTCTTAAGGAGCGCAAATAAAGCAGAGGCAATGTATGAAAGGTCACGCGTTAATATAAAGATGGGACCCTTGCTACCTTTACGCGCAGCCTTTCATACATCCCCTCTATATTATTTGAGTTTGTATTTTCTTTTTAATAACAAACTTCTACTACTGAACAACATTATAATACATGGGATTAGTATACACCATACACTACGATACTGCCGTTAATCAATACTGCCTTTAATCAATTACACTATTTATCCAATATATATGAAAAAAAAAACAACAAGAAATTAATTATAAAAGTAACTATAGTCTTTAATAATACCAGCTTTAAAAAATAAAAGAAAACGAGAGATGTGGAATTACAGTTGTGCAGTTGTTTTGATTCAATTGTAGAAGATAATTTTATGAAAGCATATGTATTAGATGGAACACTCCTACTATGAACAGGGACGAGGGAGCCTATCAGCTTTCTCCCTCATGGACACAAGTGATCTCCAACCCCAAACCAGGGGCGGGGGCGTCGACAGAGTGACTTGGCGCGTTGAAATCAGTAATTATCACTTTCAGAAGCCTATTTAAGGCTACTGACACCTTTGACGATTTCCAAGTTTTGACAAAAATGGCTGACAGTCTTCGAAACTGTCACCATCATTAACACTTTAAGACTTTGGCTATGTTTTGAGAACATTTAAAGAGAAGATAATCACCTCGATGCTCTGATGGCGGACACCCACAATTACAACATTCTCCTGAGACACTCGGTAGTTCATCATACCCGCCACAGCTGTGTCGGGTACAGGGACCAAAGGCAACCTGAGTATGACAATAGCATTTTCGTTAGGTTCCTTCGGTATCGAGAACATTAATCAAGAAAAGATCTGTGTCTCCTCGCCAACGACAACGTTACCTACTGTAACCGAAGTGAAAATTATGACATGTGCGAGGAATGGGATTTAGTCCGAATATGAAGGAAAAATCTTGTCATGATGTTTGCGCTAAGTATGTTAACGACTTGTTCACGCTCTATGCCAGTTCTTTCTACATTTGGGGGGAGGGGATACTCCCTATAATGGCCTATACGGGGAGGCTTCTGCGGAAAGAGTATCTTTTTCAGGCTTCAGGTATATGAAAGGGTAGGGATTTCACTAGTTGAAGTATATTAATAAAGGGTAGGGAAATCTGTCATTTGGGTCCGTGAAAGGGTCCAAAAGGGCTCACAGGTGAATGTTATGGCTTTATAAAGTCGATAAAACGAGTCCATTTTGTGATTGATTCCTACTGAATTGACAGTGCATTTACAGCAGTTGAAATATGTTAAAAGGGATGCAAAGTTCTAATCAAGGTATGTCAACAACGAGTATCATTTCTCAATAGAAGGTGCACGAAAGGGGTAACTAAAAGAGGTATATCAGGGATTGGACCTCGGGGCAGAACCTCCCGGTATAAAAATTTGTCGAGAACCCCGCCCCGGTTTTCACACGGGGTGTTTTTTTCTTTTTTGTAGTGATGACCTGATAAGCTATCTTGCTGCAAATGACGAAATTGCCTTGCTAAGGGGAGTGGAGCGAATTTTTCTACATTCCAGCTATACTAGAATTAGCGAATCCTCCTAAACCAGAAAAGTTTAACAGGCGCAACTCTATAAAAAAAGCATAAAGAAACCTAAAAAGAAAACTAAACGCGTAGTATGATGCCCCACTTCAGTAAATTACCAACCCCCCCCCCCCCCCCCCCCCCCCCCCACCCACCGCCAATAAGCACCCCTTCTCTGTTACATGTATGTGCCCCGTCAAAGGTACTTGAGAGGATTTACGGTATTAGATAGGCATTGAAATTATTTCCTGCCTATGCTATCTGTTGCAATGGATGGCAACGGTGGGCATGAGTGAGTGGCTAAGAAGCATCAGTCGTGTAAGGGTAAATACACTGCATAGGATTGGCCTAAATCAGCAATGTCCTCGTGATATATACCCTTTAAGACCCTTTAAAAAAAATTCACTAGGCTTAAGCCTACTTGTCGCCTGACAACATATCCAATTATCCGTCCCTAAATCTATTTAAAACGATTGATCAAGCGGAGCAAGTGTCGGGTCTCGAAAATTTTTGACGGTGTAAAGTGACAAAATTTCGAAACTCCACGTGCCTCTCTTAAACTACTTTTAATACAAGACTTGTATGTGATTGGGTTTAAATTTTTCCTAAGTGATTTTCATTTTTGGGGGGTATGGTACGTCTTCGATGATGCGGTTTTGAAGATTGGAGTTAAAATTTTAACCAAAGATGAGTAGGACTTACGGGTTTTTACAACAGATTAAATTTGAAAGTACTTAGCGGACACATGTGTTTGAGAGCGACCCCAAACAGCTTCGCATTTCAATTTTACTCATTTTACAGACACCCTACCTCTACCATTAATTGTTTGCCAGATCACTTGGTCAGTGATTACCTGTTTTTTTTTGTTTTTTGTTTTAGTTTTTAGACTGAAGAGGATGGGATAACTATAAAATGGAGTTGCACACTGGGTGTATATGTGAGATCACAAAAAGTGTCCAAAGAAACTGACATAAAAACCATATTTTAAAAAATCAGTTTTTCAGATCTCGGAACATACTGTGCGCGAAAAAGGGAATCGGTGCAAGTAATAAGTTTAAATTCCAAGACCTGATTAAAGCCCCTTGTAGGACAGATGAATAATTATTTGAGGTACCGGTCTACACGAATTCAGCCTATGAAATGCCTGGTACTTACGTGAGAACGTGCAACGCAGCTGCATGTCCTGCACTTGGACGTTCCATCACCCAAAATGAACCTTTCACAGCCGCCAAATCTGTGAGGCGGGTGGTTGATACAACTTCCTCGAAAAACGCCCTCTCTATCTCGTTCTGCCATGATCA